GGGGGGAGACATCCTGAGAGATACCTTCCTTTTTTTTTTTTTAATAATCACTTTTTCTTCCTGGTTCTTATGCACCGATACACGGCTACGAACACTGTTTGCATTGCCAATTGCAGGGAAGGTTGTTTTTTAAAAAAAAACCACCAACCCCAACATAATCCAAGTAAAATTTCAGTTTGTGGCCTTTACTAATTAATAGTACTCCTTTAGATAAGGATATCACCATTCCCTTATTATACTTCTCAAGTACCTTCTCTTAAAATCAACAGGTAAAAATTACATGGAAAAACGTGTATGAACGGGCATCAGAAAAACAGCCACGTACTGCAGCATCGTTAACCAGCTACTGAAAATTACAGCTTCATCTCCTGCTCACAGCCAGACCTGTATGTATTTGGACACCTGCTATCATTACAAAGGCAGTGGCTTTAGGCTTGTGCCAGGTAAGAGAGATGAGAATCTGGCTCACAGTCCGCGTTTCTAACTCTTCGCAGAACAAGAGAGTCCAAACATATTTTAGTTCTTTATAGCTACTCTTCATAGACAACTAAAGATCTTTATCACAATAAAAACAGAAGGCACTGCCACAGAGTGTAATTACATGCTACTAGAGTTGACTATTGTCTTCCAGAAATAGGAAACGGTTTGAAAAATGGATGGTTTTCTGCTTGGGCCATACTCTGAGTTCCTTAAATAAAATGCTGCCCCTAAGCCCCATGCAGATAAAATGTGGACTCTGGTATTTTAGGCCTAAGCAAATCTTGAGAGTGGGCTTCAAGATTTGGCTCACAAGGTAGTCAGCTTTCTGCACCACCAATTAGCGATGTGTCACCATAGTGGAAAAATCAGGTTTAGGCCCTGCTCTCTTCACACCACCCTTGTTCATGTCCCAGAGATGGGGAAGGAGTTGGTTTCTTACAATTATTTCTCCTCTTCAGTCAGTTATGAACCCAAAGTCTCGAGGCAGCGTGCCCTACGGAGCTCTTCCCTTCAGAGGGCAGACCACCATTGCAAAAAACCCCACAGATAACACTCGGCACTGCACCGAGCAAGGACAACTTACTGTTGCACAAACCCCCAACAAAGGAATGGGGATGGGGCTTACATATCCACAGCTGCATCCGTGCTCAAGCAGCCAGCTGGGCAAACCGTGCTGCCTAGGCTGAAGGTACGTAAACTGTCAGCCAGCCATCAGGACAAGAAGGTTTCAAATATCCAGGCGGTGCCACATTCCGGATGCCTTGAAGAGGACTAACTTAAGATCGTTGTACATATCCTAGGATCCCTGGCAAAGTGAAACATTTCGATAAATGAATCGTTATCAGATAGAGACTTCTTTTGAAAACGGACTGTCTTCTCTTACTCTATAGCTGAAAGAAAAAGGCAGGTTCGTGCTTTTTCTGAAAGATTGTTTGCAAGAAAAAAAAAAGGTGCCTACCGAAGTACAATTATTGTGCTAAGTAATTACCAATAAATTAGAAAAAGTTCGAGAGACTCAAAAGAGTCACATAAAGGTGAGTGAATATGATCTGGAAGAGATGCCTATGAATCACACGCCATTTCCCTACTACCATAAAATAGTAATAGTTGATACATCTTGCTATGAAACTTTCTATTGAAGATGTCACAGATCTTTATAAACATTAATTTCACCTCACAGCCTCCCAGGATGGGAAGAACCATCTCCACACGGAAAAGCTCACGGAGCAGAAATGTGCCATTCACCTCACGCAACACAAGGAGGCTGCAGCAGAGCTGGGAACAGAACGCAGACCCTTGCCTCCCATTTTGCAGGCTAACCACAAGATCGTCAAATGTCACCCATTTATTTTATCTCCTCACAAAACCATTTTTGATCATTACTTCCATTTCTTTTCTCAGTGAGGAAGGAAAACTGACAGCCCCAAACGCATTTAGAGAAGGTAGACATGAGCGATGCAGCACAATGGGGCCACAACGTATGGATGGGTCTTCCACGTACTTAGGTAAATGTCTTGCCCATTACCCCTGATCCACTGTGATCTGTGATTTAAGGTGAGTGACCATTTTTCTTCTCTAAACCTCAGAATTTCGCAGTCTTCATGCAACCATCTTGCAGTACAGAACTGTGTGCGCTGTTGGCACGTCACACTAGCAACACATAAAAGAAACTGTGACTCAATCTTAAAGGGAAATACTATTTGCTGCCTTGAAAATCATTCAGATTATTAAAGGCACATTCTTTCAAAAGCAAGTCAACATCACTAAGCCCACCCTTCCACAACTTGGGTTATTCACATAGTTCAAGTCATTCTCTGTCCCTACTCCAGGGATCTTTTACTTCAATAATGCAGTTCTCTCCCTCTGCTCTACGTTCTGCTCCCATCCCTTTTCAGTACTTGCCTCTCTCCTCATCCTGCTTTTCTAGTCTCTTCCCCTCCTTTCTTTACAGTAATTTCCATTTTCTTTGAAATGTTTTGGCATTTAATGCTGGCTTTATTCTTCCTTCTCCATCTGCTGCTCTTGTCTTTCTAAATCTCTTCTGGAGCCTTCTCTTGTGAGAAAGCAAGAGCCACGTTTTCCACTTATTGCCTCCTCTTTCTGGATTTCCGCTTCCTTCTTTTTCTTTATGGACTTGGAATCAGACAATCTTCCTCTCCCCAGAAGCTGATATACCAGCTACAACACCTTCTTACCAGCCCCACAATAGCTGGTACCATGCTGCATCTTATCTGCCACTCTCTTCAACACCAGTATCTCAGGAAAGGCACTGCTAAATATTTGGCATTTCTCCTATATACGACACGAGCAACACTACAGAAAGCAAGATTACTGGTAGGTTTTACTCCCTTGCCTTGTGCTCAGCATTCGTAGAACTTTCTGACGATGGAGACTTGTTCCACCAGCTACAATCCCATTTTAAAGGGAGCTTCCCACTGCTTAAGGGTTTTCTTCTCTGTAAAATCTTCTATTTCATTATCATGACTTACAGGGAACAAAGGTGAAATAACCAAACTTAACTAGCAACACCGCTTTTATACAAATCTCCCCTATATTATCTTTCCAACATATTTTAATTTGGGACTTAAAAGCTCAACTCTAAGACGTGTCTTCCTAGCCTGTTCCCTTGGACTGATCCCAGAGAAGGGAAATAGCTGTAACATATAAGATGACATGGACATTTGCCAACCAGAAGCACAGCAACCACCCCCTTTTGGGAAACATTCCGCCATATCTGCATGTGTACCTTTAACTAAAACATAATACAAATTGATCACAGATAAAGCAAAGTAAATACAAAGAGAATGGTGAAAGGATTTCTTCTGTTACACATTTTTGTTTATTTCCAAACTGCAATCTAAAGCCTGACTTTCTGTGAAAGCTTTCTTCATATTTGTTATTAGCCAATGTGTTTAATTGTTTGTTATTGTACCTTAGCACTGGGAATGATGCCCTCTGAAAGTTTTTGCTTTCAGAAAGGCTAAAGCAAAATAAACAACAGAAAGTTAAAAAAAACCCAACCTTGCAGCCAGCAAGATGGATTTTGCAATGAGGGATAAGATTTAAGTCACAAAAATTACAAATCTTCTACAGTTACAGTTATGTTGCCAATGCACAGAAATAAGAAATGAACCATTTATCAAGGATTACAAAATGAAGTGAACAAGAACCCTAGCAAATGCCAAAGCTTATAAAAACCTCAAAACATTAAGATCCTCACTTCTACCTCAAGCTCAAAAAATACAGCACGAGTCAGTTGTTTTAGTTTTGTTTTAAACGTTTCACACACCAGTTTTCCTCTGGTCACAGAGATTTTGCTTTATTCAGTGCCTAGAGTATACTTGACTGATGAATGAAGAGCAGCTAACAAAGCAGTGGAGTGGAGAATCCAACACCTATTCCTCTCAAGGTTTTCCATTGTTGTTTTCAAACAAATATTTTGAACACAAAGCATATTCCCATGGATTTATTACAATCTAGAAGGGAAGTATGTGTTTAACAAGATAGAACTTATCTGAAACGTGCTTGGCTCAAACGCAAAAAGAAACCAAGAAGGGACATGATATGTTCATTCTGCCCCACTCTCCTCTGGCAGTTTGAGGATTACGGTCTCCTACCTCCCAACTGAAAACAGCAAATTCTCATGGCTACAGTGATTATATTCAAAGCCATGACAAGTGCACCAGCACAAAAAGTGAGAATAGGGAAAATAATTCACTCAATTATTTTAAAGTTATTTACAATAACAACAACAACAGATTTTCAGATAGAAGCTTGACTTAAGTTGACTGACCCTTTCAGCATTTCTAAAGAAATTATGTATTATAAAACTAATTCAGTGAAAAATGAAAGTAAAAATAGAAGCAATGAGACATCTTCTAAATAAGCAAAGCTGCTTTTACAGCATGCTGAATAACTGGAGTGTGGCAAACATACCACTGTTATAAATAACATCCAGCCTTTCGATATTATTCTTCAGTTAATTATTTCAAATTCTTTATAAGCATCAATGAAGTAAGCCTCACTCCCATATATAGGAGGAAAAATGAAGATAGAGAGACAGAAAACAACCCTCCAAAGTTACAGTGGCACACTTACACAGAGAATTCAGGAGGTCTGACAGTACAAGAGAAAAAGCATCCTCTCATCCAGATGAGAGTGCTTAATAAGTCAAGAGTTTGTAGCATTTATACATCATTTTACACAAAACGTTGCATCAACATTTTAAAATTTAACCATGACTAGTAAATGACCAAGACATATCAAAGTTTTATACCGATAAGTAAGGCCCAAACAAATTATGGAAACTAATGATTTCTCCCTGCTGAGGCACTTTTATGTTCTCCTTCAACACCCAATCATAAAACCATTAAAAATAACATTTCATGTTAAAAATGCCAGCAGCTGCCAAAGTACCGTATACAGCACTTTGTCAGATTCTAGATAAACGAACACCAAGACCTAGCACAACAGTGATTAATAAGTAATTGTGTCTCATTACCTTTGTGGTCTTCTTGGGCCAGCTGACCACAGGAACACCCGAAATGGCAAGATTTTGGTCATCATCAGCATGTTCCTTCAGTATGTTCTGTTGCAAATGAAAAGGCCTTTATTAACCAGAGAAATATTCCTCCAACTGAAGAGCGCAGAGACTTACAGAAGACAATACTCCACTCTGATAAAAGAGTGACAAGATCTCTGATGACTTGTTACATCTCCACAAGTTACTTTTGCTTCCAAACTTCCAATTCACACTCAAACTCTCGTACCTGTCATTAAGATCCAAAATGTGAAGTTTCTTGCAAACAGCAAAATCAGCCATGAATCACCTCAAATACTACAGACTACTTTAAAGTTGGCGTGGCCAAAGAGGCTGGTGTTTTTCCACTGCTATCAGCCTAATACCAGTATCACCTCTCCCTTTAAACTCCAGCTCACTAAATCCCAAACAGCCCCCAGCACTTCACCACAACCAACACCTTCTCTCCTAATCAAGTCTACAAAAGACCCTAGAAGCATCTAGGCTCTGCCACCATGATTTCTGCAGTCGCAGGGCATCAAGCATCAATCCAGTGTAGTTTACAGCAATCCTCAGATGTCTGAACATTCAGGTAAGTCAAGATACAGAAATGCGCACCGTAACCTTTCATCTTAATGCACGTGGCAATCCACAGGCACCGGCATTTCCTTCCACACTGAGGGGCAAGCCAGAGTAATCTAGTTCACTTATGTGATCAGATAAGGCATTCAGGTTCCTGAGCACTCACTAGGAAAGGATCTGACTCAGGATAGTACAGTATTAAGGAAAAAGATTCATGTCCCCTCTCTTCTGCCCCCACCAAATCCTTTTGTTTTGATGCACTGGCCCAGAAATCTCATGAGTGGGTTGCACTGGCTTACACAGCTTCTACTGCTGTGAATCACTCCCATGACCATGTAATTCAACACAGAGATGGGAAAGAACTCTTTCTAAGCATACTCAGTTGTGCAGTTGGAACGAGTCCACACTCGCTTCCCTTGACTCTCAACATACTAACCTAGCTACAAAGCTCTTCATTGGGAGTTCAGGTAGCTGAAAAAGACAACAAATAAAACCAAAAAACGAATCGGAAAGAGGATTCTGCTGTGCTGCTGAAAACTGAAGCCCAAATAAGCACTAACAGATTAAGGGGAAAAAAGTGGTCCAACAAAACAAACAAGAACTGCAGGTTAGAAATTACCTCGTAATAGAATTTAGGAGATAACCCCAGACAATGAAGTTCAACGGTGTTGCTCTCAAGTATACAGACTTCTTGAAAAAAAAACTTAATTAGGCAACAATAGGCACCAGGCGCTCTCAGTCCCTAGTGTAGAGCTTTAATAATTAGAAATTTCACACAGTCTATAAAAAATGCTTAAAATACAGTAATTGTTTTAATAGGAAGTGCACTTGGAATTCATCTGCAATCATCCAGCTAACGCTGGGAGTACGATGGCATGTTCCAGGCCACAAGAGCCCGAGCAGGCAGACTAGCATCTAAACTAGGGTTTGGATGAGCATCCCTGGGGCTGCCTTTCTCCCCCTGGAGCTTCAGGCAACCTGCCGGATTCAGCTCAATTCCCTAGTCTGCACTTAAACGAGAGATGCTTTACTAAGAGACACTACAGCACCAGCACAGCGCTGCTTCTTCAGATACAGTCATACCACTAAGGCCAGTTCTTGATACTGGTTAGTCCGAAAGCAGCACCAATGACCAAAATAAGCAATACCAGTACAAACCCAGTTCCGTCAGCCCCTCACCGTGGCTGCGCTCAGGAGCTTGCACAGGCACAGCCTGGCTGGTTAGGAGTAAAATGCAGCTTGCCCCAGCCTGACTCCAACGTGGAGCCTGTAGCGTACCTTCAGCTGAATACTCTTCGAATGAAACAGCTAACAACTTTTACATGCAGACTTGCCATTGGCAAATTCACTCTTTGCTGAGCTGAGGTTAAGTGAGCATCTCTTTTCGTCATGTCGTTTTTATTTTGAGAGCGTGATCATTGCACTGACTGAACTGTGACCACATTCCGAAAGTTGGTTTTCAATTCTAAAAATGGAGGGTCTTTTGTATTCTCATAGCAAAGCAGAAATTCTCCAGAACAAGGAGAATGAGCAGCTTGAGAGCCATATAAACAAAGGACAAATTAATCCCTCTTTACTTTGCTACTCTTAGATTTGAAAGCTTGTGAGGCAGAAAACCTTAACATTTCCACTAGTGACTGTCAGAGTCTCTGAGTTCAATAGAAAGCAGAGTCTATCCCAAGAACTTGGCTGGGTAACAAGGTTTCTTGTTATCATATGTATCACATGAAAATATTACCCAAGAAGAAACGTAAAACTATGGCAGTTTATCATCTCAGCCAGCTGAAAACAATGGATGTCTGAGCAGCAGAACCATAACCAAGCCACATTTGCACTGACTGTAGTGTCAAGTATCAGCACGCAACAGGCTGGAGGAGGCAGACTTTTGTTCACCTGCTTTAGAATAAAAAAAAAAGAAAATAAAGAAAAGCCATGGGGCTCCAGTTAGACAAGCAACATGATGCTCATCCAACACAAGGCTGCCTGATTCATTACGCTTGAAGGCTGCGGTGACAACAGCAGGTATGAAGGAAAGAAACTGATTAAGTATGTAAGAATTCAGCTTAGCCATTAATTTCAAAAGCACAGCAAGGGATGACTCCCCTGAAATGCATTCAGTAGAGGGAGTTTTTTTCCTGTCATCAGAATGAGAAGGGGGTAAGATTTCTTGGCAAGAAAAAGTAAGAACATATTTCAATAGATATCATCTGTCTTGCACAAGAATCTTCTGCTGCTGCCAAGGAGTTGCGGATATTTGACAAACACTGTTCTTCAAACTGAGTTTCTTCTGCCCTAATGGACTTCCACAGGCCCTTCTGAAGAGTAGCATTTTTGCTTTGAAGTGGGGAAGGTCTGCAGCATTATTAGAAGGCAGATCTCACAATCCTCTCCCCCAACAACAGCAAAGGAATTACCATCCTGCTGGTAACACAACAGAAGTGTTGTGTGCTGAAATCAGAGGCTGCACGCAGACAAGTATCACTGGCAGGGTGTTTAATGTGGGATGCAGACTGTCACAATCAAAGGTCTGCTCGGTTTTACCTGTCCTGTGATGTGGGGTGCAAACCTCTGTATTCTCTTCTTCATGCCTAAGTCCACTCCAATTGCATCTTTAGTGGACTGACATACTATTTGCTAGCTAAATACGAAGTGGAGAAGCCACACCATGAAACTCTTCCAACCCCCAAGGCCACCATCTAAGTAAAATGAGTTCTCAAGTCATTTTTTTTCCCCTCCTTCTCTTCCTCATCAGTGTAGGTACTTTTCTAACAGTTCAGCTGCTACTTAATTTTTAAATTGGGATCGGGAGTTGTTGTGCTGTTTCATACTTCGTTTCAGGGCATGTATATATGGAAAATAAGGTATGACTGCAGGCTGCATGTGCCTCCAACAGCAACACCAACAGCAAGGATGTGGGGGCAACTGCTGCAGTGTCTTCTGGCTGCTCACCCTGCCAACAGCTACGCTTCGAAGCCTTCTGCCCCTCTGCAACCTGGGTCAGCTGAGCACTCTCAGGGAGGGTATGTTTATCTGTGCAACAATTTCCCCTCACACTTGCTGCACATACAGCTCACACAGAGCCCAGCCAGAGACATTTGGATACAGAGAATATTGCATCTCCTCGGCCGACTGTTCAGATGCCATCTGGTACGGCGCAAACGCTGCTGTCAGTAACCGCTGTTTGGAGGCCTCCGAGAAGCTCCTTTGGTGGTGAACACAGGTCTCATGCGATACAGTGCCCATACAGCAGAGCTGCAGCCGACAAGAATTTAATTCCTTGTTCGAGCTGAGGGAAGAACTGACCCGCTCCCCAAGTGAGGCCTGTGTTATGCTCTGCAAATAAGCCTCCCTTGTGCTGCTGCACTCCATCGATCACGGTGATAAATGGGTTCTCAATGTGCAGAGGCGTTAGCTTGGCACTGCCGGATTGCTGTGTCCCCACTAGATAGTCACAGTTAGTTAGGAGCTTAGATGACGTGTAAGGAATTTACACAGGCTTAGTTTAGTTTTCAGTCTCCCTTCTCATAAGGAAAATAAATTACTTTCCTTCAAAGAGTCTCACCTACTTGACATTAAAAAGCTGTACATAGCTGTAGTTGTATTTACTACCAAGAGCAGTAATCCAGTCGCTCACCCTTTACCATGTTCTTGCACAGATGGGAAAGCATGGATTGTCTGCAAGTTACCCAAATCTGTTCTGTGAAACTTCACATCACTAAATAAAAGAGTTTCCTTTCTCCAGTCTTAACTACCCATACCCTGTTTTCTGAAAACATTAATTATCTTACTGAAGCACAAGGACCTGAATGTCATACAGAGAAGTTCCCCAGTGTATTTCATTAAGAAATAAAACTGCTACAATAAACATGGATTTATTTTCTTCAGGAAGAAACTTGTTTAAGACTTTCCAAGCACAGTAAGAGCTTTCAGACTTTCCATCAGAGCATGTTCTTCCTATGCATTTGTTAAAAATTCTCAAATGCGTGTACTAAAAGGGTACTTTTTATAGATTGTATTATTAATACATAACGTGCCCAAAAGTCAGGTTGCCCATGAAACAAACCTTGCGAATATAGCCAAATACAGTCACAGCACGTATGATCTGCAGAGCTGCTTCTGCAGGATTTCTGCCTCCATTCAGTCACACAGATGACTGGTGCTCTGGATATTCATCAGGGTGAGGTAAAGGTGACAGGCTTTTGCTCACTCTACTGCTAATATTACCAGCAAAATCCCCACATTATTTTCTGTACAAGTTGGAAAACTAGTAGCAAAGTAAGAGGGAATATGGTTTAGTGGTCAAGGAGACAAATACCGTTCTGGAAAAGTGGACTGTATTTCTTCTTCTGCCATTATGTCTCTATGTGACACAGGGCAAATCTTTTAAATAAAGTTTCCACAGGCAGTGATAAATTGTGTGTTCCTACTCTTCACACCTGGCTTGGGATCTGGATGCTAAAGATCAGAACTTCTGCTCTGCAGAAATGTTAAGCAATTGAAGTTTCAATACCATTAAAATTATCTTTTGCCCATATAATTCTTAAATAATGCTAACTTTTCTGAAAATCACATCCATGGCACATAAAACCAGTATCCAAAATTATGGTCACTTTTATCTTCATCTCTTTGCACCCGAGTTCCCTACCTGTGAGCCAGAGATAGTAACAGCTCAATCACCACTCGTGAAGCACATGACTACCGCAGTGATGAGTATCACTGGGAACGCCAAGGGCACGTTCCTGTTACAGCATTCAGCCAAGGGTCCGACCAGTATGATGTACCTAACATATACTGAGGAGCAAGGACGGAACAAAATACTGAACAGCTGCACTCTGGACACCACGCAATACAGAATCCTGCAAGGACCATTATGTATGCTGAAGGGCCTGAAATCAGTCACTTGGCAACTTTTCCAGCAGCACGCTCCAGCCTTTAAAGGTAGAAGCCCTAAACACGCACTTGTTTCTAATTTTTTTTTTTTTTTTTTAAGCCAACAAACTGAATAAAACAAACTTCATGCATTGGTATGACAAGGGCTACAAGGACATAGGCTGCTTTGGCTCCGCTGCACTGTTCTCTACCATGTCAATGAACACAGCGGCAGAAAGGAGTGACGGGTTGTTGCATCCAGGGTCCCCAGACTAGATGGGAACGGGACACACCTTGTCAGTAGCTGCCTCAGACAATTTGCTGATGGGCAAAGGGGAGGCCTGTGCTGGGAGTACTGGGCTCCACTCTTGACTTGAGAGGAAGAGTACTCAAGCAACCACTGATGTGAGTGCAACTCCCCCTAACTGTCCAAATTCCCTCAGAGCACCTAGCACATGGATTATGCAACCATATGGAGAGTTACGGAGACAGCAGACTACATGGGGTTTAATTAATTTACTATGCTGTATTGACTCCCATTCTCTGAAAATTGAGGGCTGCCTTATATATGGACCAATATTGTAGAAAACATAGGTAAGAAAGTTTTTTAACAGTTCTTTAGACACTGGTTAAGAGAACGTTTGCATTAACATCCTTTTAAAAGGTCTTACTCTGACTAATCAGTCACAGGCCCGCCAAACATACAGAGGTGATTCCAGAGAAAACAGTCCTGCAGCATGCACGATGTTTAGATGTGGTCATGGGCCCTTTAACCAGCAGGGAACCATAAATATCCAGATGCTGGGCTACATCCTGATGGTTACAGTGTGTGCTGGCAAGGAGAGAAAGTTTAGAAGCAGGCAGTTACCAAAGAAGATGGAACATCAAGACTGCAACTCTGCAAGATGCACAAAATAAACTGGCAGATGCCCACTTAACACCAGTTAAAGCACGATATCACCAAAAAGGGCACAACTTGGGTCTTTTTCTTAAATGTCCATTTGCAGTTCTCCATCTCTGTAGCTAGTGTATCCACTGCTCTGAAGAGGAATCGGAAAGCATATACTCCTACACGGTGCTTTAAACCAGATTCACATATGGTATCTTGCCGTGTTCTAGTAAGATTTCTCACAGTGCACTGGAGTATGCCATCAAAAGAGCATGCATGATCATTTTCTGAACATCTGCACCATTTATGACATGCTGTACCCCTTTTTGGGATTTCAAGAAGGGGCAGTTCATTTTTAAGGAAACTTGGTCCATGCATCAAGCTTGGAAAAGTAATGCTACCGTTCCTTCTCCTTCACCACAAATACAGCACTTGGTCTTGAAGCTTCATTTTTATTTCTGATTAGAAGATGACCTATCCCAAAGCAAGCCAGTGAATCTACAGCCACGACTTTGGGCATGTGTGTCCACTTTCATATACAAAGTGGCTGATTTTGCAAGAAGAGACTTTCTGAGCTCTTGTGGTTTACCAAAATGAGTGCCATGTATCACAGTTCCAGGCTCCAAGACTGTGGAATATGGTTCCACTGCACACTGCGTATGTTCAGCCTTCTTTAACTGGCTTTGAAGCCTTTTCTAAGCCGCTGCTACACTATTTACATGTTTATATGGTAAAAGGGGAGCCTATACTTTTTTAGTGTATTTTCCCCCTCAGATTGTGGCTTAGATAGCTCTTGTGTATAGGACATATGTAGCTGAAGAACCATACTGCACACAGAAACAGCACAAAACTAGCAGTCCAAACACAAGATGACGAATCAATACTCATAGTTCCAAATCGGGCAAAATTGCCATGGTACTGGACCTGTGGAGGACAGGCTGGCAATTTTAGCCTTATTTGACAAATCCCAGCAAAATTACAACAGCATGCTGCTCTCAGCTTTATTAAAAAAATGTTAATATGCCTATTTTAGCCAATGTGAAAACGTGACACAAAAAAGCTAACCGAGTAGGTCCAAAAAGGTGCCACAGATCAGAGGCAGGGCTGGGACCAGAAGCAGGAAGGCCATGTTGGTGTTCAGGAGGAGTTTATCCCTAAGTCAAATAGGGTACTGCTTCTAGTATACTAAAAATCTAAAGAGAAGGTCTGTCACTACTGAGCGTTCACTCCTCACACCATCTCCAAAAACAGTATATTGTACCAGTGGAGAATAATTATCAACCTATAGAGGGCAATGGAGGAAAAGAAAATGAAAAAGGTGAAAGAAAAAAAAAAAAAGGCAACTGAAAACAATAGACAATGTATCTTCTGAATTACAATCAAATATTTACATTTTGTAGGTCCGTTATCAGATATACTCCAGAAAGACTCTAGACCACAAAGGGCAGATTAAGACTATAAATATAAACAGACTTTTTGAGGTATAATATTTACACATGGGACATAACAAGTGCTGAACTATGAGAGGATCTAAACTTTTGCCTACTGCTGTGACAGTTAGAAAGGACTGCATCAATTAAATCAGTCTGCAAACAGCCATCTCCCCAGAGCAGAGATGGCTTTTGTTAGAAGCATAATCTCCCTCTCTGTGGTATAACAGGCTGATACGAGCTGGTCACTACACACAAGCTGCCATCCCTCTGCTGCAGAACTTTGCTTTCTCATCTCCCGCTGTCTTCTATGCCCACAGAATACAGTTTGTGTGGATCAGCAAGCTATCACACCCACCTTCATGTCCTCTAGGAGGGCCTGTGGGTCTTCAATGCCTTCTGGAACACACTTCTTGTTCTCTGGGAGAGATTCAAGCTTTTCCACCAGCGCTTTTAAACCCTTCAGTTCATATTCTGTGAGGTGAGTCCATTTGGTTGCAACTTCTGTAGCTGGAGACCCCGTTGGTGTTTTGGGGTAGTCCGTGGGGGTCGTTGATTTTACACTGTCATCTGACTCATTGGACAAAGTTCTTTTCAGGTATCTCATTACTGTGGCTTTTTGTTTTCTTCCTGCACCCTCCTTCCCTTCTGAGTGTGTGCTGTTGGGTGAGGAAGAGCCATCCACCAAGGATTTGGAGTTCTTATCCAAGCTGTCATCCTTCTCCTCCTGGATATGGGCATCACAAGATTCTTCATCCATGTCTAACCACGAATCTGATGAGTAGCTGTCTGTGCTGCGTTTTCTTTTTGCATCTGAAAGTTAGAAAAAGAATACTGAAATTTTACCCAATGTAATTCATAGCTTAAACACTTCTCTACCACTGGGGCTAGGCGCTGCCTGTTTAAAAGGGCACTGGATAATGCCTAGTAAGTATGTGACAGGAATGGGCTCTATTCAAATGATTTTTAATTGGGGGGGGGGTTTGTTTGTTTGTTTTAATGCTGGTTTTCATTAACATCTACTCAGTTCAAATGACTGGGAAACATTTAGGGAAAAATTATGCCTTCTTCAAAGCTTCAGTCCTCTATGCCTTCAATTAAAGAGTAGGCAGAGCTCTTAAGTCACACACAATTAATTTTCCCACAAATCCAAAAGCGACCAGATTTGACAGCCTTACAGCTTTAAGAGGAAAGCTAGCACAGAAAGAGGAGGGGAAAAAGGATGGGAGAAAGCACGTTAAAATGCTGTACATCATCATTCTTCCAGCAACCCTGCACAGCACAAAATCAACTTCTCAATACTTTTCCTCTTTATGAGCAACTGTGGGTAAAACAAGAACCCCCACTTGTTACTACATGAATATTCACTGCACTTCTGAGAGAGAGGATTACAGTTATGCTTATTTTATAGACAAGAAGCCTAAATACACTGAGATATGCAAGGACTGCCACATAGTTACATGATACTGTTTTTCTTAATGCCGTCCCTGATACATTCCAGGTACTTCTGAGGAAAATTTAAAGGCAAGTTTCTGAGTCTAAAGAACTGTTAATCTTAATTTTATACTAAGTTTCCCTCCTATAAAATCCCAACTGTTATCCAACTCTGTGCAATCAAGCAGTGAAAGCAATGTAGGAAACTAGTGGCCAAGGTTCCCTAAAGCACACATCTTTTCTTATTTATTAGACACAATTTCCTTTACTAAGAGAGCAACATTGAATGCAGTAATTTCTGTGGAAAATACAGTTAACACTGGCAACACTCAGTTAAATCAATGTGAACTTTAATAGTGGCTGGAATGGGTATGAGATCAAGCTGCAAACAAAAACACTCTGCAAAGGAAACAGAAGTCATACAGAAAGAGTGAGTGAACAATTAATGAAAAGTTCCTTTCACAGCTTTCATGCTTTGCAATGCAGTAGCTTTGGATTAGGACAATGTGAATCATGCTTAAGGAAGGATTAAATGGACATTAAAGAAAAAGCTCAGCATCCGGTTGTTTAACAGTGAGATTCAAAACAAATGCTGAAGCCCAGTTCCAAGCTGGCAAATTCATCCTTATCACAGAGCAGCTCCTTGTCCCTTGCATACCCTTGTACCATCTTCTCACAAAATATACGTGTTACTTGTCAGCTGGGTAACAACGATGCAGCAGGCAATTGCACAGTAGCTGTCCGAAGGCAGCCAGCCTAGCTGCTTGGCTTTGCAGTGAACCCCTCCAAGGCTAGATGTACCTCTGTGTGTTAGTGCCCAAGAGATAAGAGTAGGCCACTTTAGACTTCTCAGGGCAAACATGCTGCTGCTACAGTGTCTGCAAAAATCGAGCATCTCTGTCCAGTCTATTCCTTCAGTCACGTTTGCGTTTTTCCTCAGAACCAAAACAGCCATAAAATTACTCCTGAAAGACAAATTTAAGCTGAAATGCCTGTGAAAAGATGGCAGTCACAAAAAATACAAGCTACCACCAAGGCTGGTCATAGCCAAATCCAGCTTCATCCACAGCGCAGGCCAACTTCCTCCCTGAATCCCTCCAAAAAAGCTTCACCATGAAGAACTACAGCACAGTTTATTCTGGGTGCTGAGGTGGTGGCACACAACACTCCAGAGCAGCTCCTCCTCTCTGGCCTGTGCTAATACGTCCCCGTGACTCTTTCAGAAAAATAAACAGGTTTAAGAAATATCTTAACCAGAACATTTAAAAACCACTAGGTTATCCAACTTTGATTTAACACGGTTTTTCCCTTTGTCCACAGTAGCTAGCACACTCACCCGCCTCAAAGGGCTATATAATCAGCTTATGTCATTCTCCCATTTTACAGCTGAGGAAACAGATGCTTGGGAGAAAGGACGATTTGCTCATTGTCACACATCAAATCTAGGGCAAAACCAGGAATTGGAATCCAGGCTCTTGGATTCAGGGCTGGAGCCCCTTCTCTAAGCCACAATGTCTTGGTGAGCTATTTTACAATTGAACTGAAGCACAGAAGCCCAGTCTAGATGGGAGAAGATGCCACTAACAAACCAGAAGGCGGCGAGAACAGATACACATCCCTGCGCTACCAGTACAGCATCATTAACAGAAACTGGCATAAATCCGCCCAAAGAAAATTATGTTTCTATCTTCCTATGCTGCGGCTCTGCTGAACAGGAGCTAGTGGCTGTAACCGGGGCAAATTGCAAGATACGGCCTGAGGAAAGAGAGGGAGGCCACGTTATGGAGGTGTGAATAATTGACTCCAAGTAATGCTCCAGTGCTAAGAGAAAACAGCCTTCAAGAGAGATCTCCACTTTTTGTCCCTTGCTCTAATCTAGGGAAACAAAAGGCAACAGAGGAGCGGAAGACCAACAGCATCCTGGGGGCCTATTCCCATCAGAAGGCAGCACACGGGGCGGGGGGGAACACAGCAATCCCGATCCGCCAGCTGCCACCGGCTGTCTGCACAAGGCAGGCCCTGCTGTGCCAGATACACCTGGGGACGGACAGACAAAAACAATCTAAATCTAACCTCAAAATGAACCATCGCCAAACAAGCGCCCCGCAGCCTGTTCTCTGCAAACCTGGCAGTTACACGACTCCTTGCCTAACTTTACCTTTGGGGACAGGGTTTGCTATTGACCTGAAGTGTATCAGCCTATTCTGGAGCACTAGCGGATTACAGTACTGCTGCACCATCAGATTAAGAGCGGACTGCTTTCAAAAGACAACAACCGTCTGCTACTGCTGCTAATTTAAAAAAAAAAAAACAAAAAAACAAAACACAAAACCAAAAAGTCAAGGGAATCAGTAATAGAAGGATAACTTCAATGTGAGGATTCAATTTTGTGTTTTCAAGTGTTTTGTTGTAACGCAACATGCCATGATTTTTATTTATTAATTTTAATGAATAACGGCATCTGACAGAGTTACTGTGCTGTGAGCTGAGGCTCTACATAAGCATAATCTGCATTTGCTTTGTAAAGACATGCATTTTAAGCACTGTATTACCAGGGTTCCACTGACTTGGAGGTTTTGGTTTATAAAATCTCTGCATGGAAAAGAGCTCCTGCTAAGTGCAACCATGGTTTCTTCTTCTGTGACAATGCACCAGCCAATACCAAGTTAGAACTCCAGTTTCAGAGTGGTAATCCAGTCTGGGCTCCCATACAACTTAGTGCAAAAAGACCTTCACCCCTCTCCATCTCAAAGCAAAGCAAACCAGCTTATACAAACCAGTCAGTGATATAACTCAGTGAAGAGGAAGAGCAGTGCAGTCTTGACCACAGGTTCACTTCCCTGTGGTTCTGGGCAAATCACTTAACTTTCCCCGCAGTTATCCACTTGTACAATAAGGATAATTACACACAGTTTCTTTCCTTGCTGAATACCAACTTGCTGTATTACACAACTTAAAAGAAAGGGAGGGGGGTGAGGTATAATTATGAAATCTTTCTGAACTCTTTATAATAGTCCAGTATGTAATATCTATCTTGCCATTCCCAGCTCCGAACCCTGACACTGTGACTTGGGACCAGCAGTTGTTCTTGGTCTGCTAAAGACAGTAATGACATTTTCATTTGCAGAAAAAAAACTGAGCATACTGGAAATGTATCACCGCATGGAGCACCCCACACAGAAATCACTCAGTGTAGTCCAGTACCTGTCCATCATAAGCAAATCTATTCTACCCCCTGAGAAGAGGGAGGAAAAAAAAAGACATGGCTCCTTCACCCTGCCAGAGGGTATATTTTCTTCATCCATCAGGCTTAACATACAGTTGGAGCCCACCCGTTAAAATTTTAGCAATGGGAATCTTAAAAGCTGCAGGCTACAGAGAAAGTGCATTTTTGATAGCCCAGCGTCTTCTCCCAATTACTCTTTGTCAGCTCACTCTCAAGATCCATATCTCACTGAAGGTCAATTGTGGCTGAAAACATCCAGTACAGACTCATTCATGATAAGAATAAAAATAATGAAGACATATCCATCCCGAAACAGTGCGTGTTCAAATCTAGTAGAAAACCCAAATAGGATCTTTCTGATTTCAGCCAGCAGGACAAATGTCACTGTTGAGAGGGACCAGGAAAAGAAAAAACAAGAGAGAAAGAGAGATTGCATGCTTTTACAGCAGCCTGTGATTGCTGTCATGTCATCATTCCCCTGAGTGTTTGCCCTTCTGCAGAAGAGATCTGAAAAACAACTGTCTCACACACTAACTAGGAGGCAACTGCTTGGAAACTCATACTGGGCCTGAAGAACGGGAAAGGAAGCCACAGTCATCATCTTCCAACTCATTTAGAAGGGGAGACGTTTTTATTTAGGGAGTGGGAACACTCAAGGTTTTAGCCTTGCCTACACTGAGGTGAGTTTGGCTTTTTTCCTGTCTCAAGATTTGAGAGTCAAGACATTTAGAAAGCAGAAATACAAAGAACAATATAAGCTGCTATACTAGCATACACCTATCGGGACAGAGGTATCGCAACACAATCACAGCAATACATTTTCATGAGTAGGCAACATCTTGGAAGAGTTGCTCTGCATTTGGCAACCTTCATGTCAAAGCAAACAAATACTGAAGCAAAATGAAAACATAGTATGAAAAGTTTAAAGATATCCTTAAAACACAATTGCCGATGAACTCAGTTTTCTGTGTTCTCCAAAGACGTTCTCTATCACACAGTAATCTCCTCTGTCTCATGCAGGAGAACAGGATCTTCTACCAATTCTATTAAAACTACCACCTTGTGAACACCAAGGACCACTGGCAGCATCCTGTGCTCTCTCTGGTGGATGTCCTCCTCAACTAACAGTCAACTGTTGCATCTTAGCTTCTGAGATCCAGTAAGACCACTGTATCAGAAGGTGTACTTATATACTTATACACCAGATTATTCAAGAGAAATTTCTGAAAATGAATACAAAGATGTGGAGGATTTTTTCTTAAACCAAGGACAGAAGACAAATCTATTGAGGGGTCTGCAGAGAAGTTAAGTACTTTAAGTTTCATTACTCTTTAAAGAAGAATAATGGGAAATTCTTTGTGAAGGGATACTCTCTTATGAGACATCAAGAAATTGCTTGCAGATAGAGAAGTCTCTGAGGAGGAGACAATCTAGGGACCTTAGCAGTTCAGAAGAAAAGCTTAAAAACAAAGCAGTGAGTTTTCGGAACACTGACATCATTTGGATCTGCTATTCCACAGCAGGTGAATGATATCAAGATATAGACACCACAGAACAAACAAGTGTAATTCAAGGATTACCGTTTATAGAGATTTGAGTCAAGAGGCTGGACGCGGAGACGAGTTAAAAGAAAAAACAAGCAAGTATTTGAAACAGTATTACTCACGCAGACCAAAGCGGCACAGCTTTGTAAAGGTAAATAATGTACCTTTACTCCTTTGAATTTGACAAATGCCAAAGTGAAAGATCCAGTAGATATAGTAGATCTGGGCTTTTAAATCACAATCCCCAGTTAAATAATTATTTCAAGGTTAAGATTCTGCCAAGAAATAAAAAGCAAGTTTCTGACAAAAGGAAAGTATACATCTGTCTCCCCTGGAGAGAAAGGCCCTGGATGTCAATGGCAGAGATTGTATCAGCATGCTAATACTCTGAAGTCAAGAGATAGCAGGCAGGTGGATGAACTACATGCTGTTGGTAGATACCACTTTGGTAAGCTGAAAGTACCAATCCATTCAAGACAGTAACAACAGCTCAAGATCTGCCCAGAAAGACACTCCCAGCACCTACCGCGGCTCAGCACCCGCAGCCACACAGTGGGGCTGCAAGTCAGATCAGCTCATCAATCCTACTGGTAACAAATATATTCATTTTTTGGTAGGGTTAATAGCCAGGCTCCTTTTCCTGATGCCTTTGCAGCTGGCACTCTGTGGTTATGCAAAACAATCCTTTTCCCTCTAGACACTGGACTTCTATGGTTACCAGTGAGCTTTTATATGATTTGAGTATCTCTCGGCTAGTAACTAGACCGAGGCACATTTCGTGGGGATCACCAAACCATTATCAGTAATTACTGAGCTGGGACAGAATTCACACTGGTGATTTAGCTGAAAAAGGTCCCATCTCAAGATCCTGAACCATCCACTCTCCACATCTAATTTGTTCCAAAATTACGCCTCAGCAATCTGGCACCCCCACCCTGCCTGCAGAACAAGCCTCTTTCCATGCCAGTGATTTAGACAACAGGCGGTTGTTCCTTATTTTCCAGGGAATGCAGTTATTAGAGTTTTGTCACTGCTTTTTGAAGAACTGATCCGAGGGACTAATTCATCTTTTCCTCTACGATAATCTTACATAAAGAGAAAAATTCCTTGACAGCTCCTGCTTAACTAACTCTTCTGATCAGGGTCTCACAGAGCAAAGAAGAGATACAAAATGTGAAGCACTCAAATTCCTAGGCATTCCAAGAAAATTCCCTTGTTTATCTACACAGACTATCAGCTCCCTCAAGTTATTCTTAGTCAGTAAAAGTCATGAAAGAGTGATGTCTGCCCGTAACTTCTTAAAACTCTTCTACTAAGAATTATGCTAGTAGGTGATCATTTCCCTCCTCTGTCCAGAACCTGAGGCAGTTCCAACCATTCCAGGTTCACTCCAAGAGGCATCTCAGGGAGCAGAAGGCACAGAAATACTTTAGTTCTCCTCCACACTTCACATATCAGTTAAGACCTAGCTGGTGCTTGTGCTACTTTCAGCCATTCTGTGCTTAAAAGCAGGGAGGCAATACGGCCCACCATCTTGTTCCATTAAAGGGAGGAAAAGAGAGGCCAGTTCAGCAAGGCAACAACTGGAATTGTCACACATTGATGTAAAGCTCGCATCAGTGCCAAGGTAATGCCTTCCCGCTTCAGGCACATCTATCCATCTCTGCTATGGTCCATTTTCAGCTATTGTTGTAAAGGTTTCTTTGACCTCCCTGCACTTGGGTTACAGATCATGTACGTTTGTGGGTTTTCTTGGTTTTGTTATTCTGCAGAGCTAGAAGTCAAGTCACCAAATGGAGAGAACTATAGTAGAGATTAAAGAAAAGAGAAAGAAGCCAGGTTTAGTGACCATAACACATTCTGCAGGGCAGGCGCTCTATAAAAGGACTAAATATCGATCCCACGGGTGCACATTTGCAACGTACACATTTCTGGCTACTAAGGTACTGTGCCAAATATGGCAGTAAATCCTCAATTGTTTGGCAGATCATCTCAACACAAACGTTACTGAAACCAAGGAACAAACGCATCCAAAAATTATTTTTCTGGGATCCATTTGCCAAGGGAATGCTCAATAAATATAATTCAAAGTAGGTTAGTACTTCATGGAAATGCTTAAGAGTCAAAACCTACCCCACCCCAAAATAAATAAATAGTTCATCAGAATTCCTACAGTTCTCCAATTCCATTTACAATCTGCTTTGCAGAAACCAAAGCAGTAACTAGCCTAAGGTGGTAGCATCAGTTCTGAACATGGACTCAGAGGATTCACTCACCAATTAACATTGATTCTTTCTGGTACTCTTTGCTGAGGTGGCAGCGCTGGGTCACACAGGACACGTATCTCTCCAGAACATACCAGCACATTTCATAGTAGAAAGGATAACGGAATTTGGCATGCACCTGAAAGCAAGATCGAGACCGTCAGTCCATGGGGAAGGGAGAGAAGTTTGCAGCACAAGGGCCAGTCATCATTCTCATCATGTTATCAAGAGCACAGACAGTATGCAGGAGGGGGAGGGGGGAGAGGAGGGGAGCCGAGCGAGACGTACGCCTTCAGCATACCAAACGAGGAGCCTGCCTGCCTGCCATGATAGCATCATTCCTTGGTTCACTAATTTGTATCCTCTTGGGCTGGTGGGAGAGGAAAGGGTTTGTGTTCTTGTGAGATCATGAAACTGATGGATGGCCCCTACGGTATTATTTACCTGCTGTATAAACATAGGGTGGTCACATACAGATGTTAGTCACTAAAATTCAAGGTAAAATAAAGGTGGGGTTTTTTATTTCCTAAACACTATCACATGAATTTTATCAAAATGGCAGCACCACCTGAAGCGAGTCGAGCAGGAAATACACCTTTTTCAATTGCGGTCTTCGCAACAGTGTGATTAGATAAACGATTACACAAATTCTTGATTATTGATAACTACACATTAAAAGTAAAAATCCGTTATGCGGTTTACACTTAATATTTTGGTAGCAAGTTAGTTTTTGCCACAAACAGAGTAGAAAAGCAGGATTTTGACAAAAGATCTTGTCAAGCTGTGCACTTTTTTTACATCTGAGACCTGTTTTCTTACAAAAAGCTTATTCTCCAACACTATGTATTTGTGAGATTATTTCAGATTCAAAAGAAAACAAAGTGGGTTTCCTTCCTTTCCAACATAGTTTTCTCTCTGTGGGATGTCACTGTACCAAAGAAGAATCTGGGAAGCTTCTAAAATGCATGAACATATGTATATTTATTGTGATTTGTTAGAAATGGATGCCATGCGTCTTGCATGCATTTGTACTTACACTGTACACTTCCTTCTCCTGGTGGCACAGAAATTTGCATTTTGCAGGCCTGCATGCATGCATTGCGCTGGGATTATAGGAACTGCTTTAAGATATTCTATGCGTATTAACTGCCCACCTAGCCAAGAGGTGTCCACCCACCTTTCATGATTAAACGCTGGACTGCACCAGAAAGGAGCATTATCTTAGAAATAATTTTTTAAAAACCAAAACCGAAACACCACCCCAACCCAAATCACCCAAAAAACAGTGAAGTCTAAACAGAATCACTAATCCAACACCTGGAAACTCAGATTCAGCTCTGCAAAGCAGGCGCTGTCGAAACAGCTGCGTGGCAATAGAAGCATTTGAGCAGATCAATGCCTTCCTAGAATGCCTGTATTTGAAAACTGTCCCCGAGGTGGGCAGTCAAAGAACGTGCCTCTGGTTCCCAGAGCACAGAAAACGCAAACACTTTTTTAGCAGTAAACCAAAATGTAACAAAGGGAAAATATACTGTATTGTCGCACTAAATGTATCACAGTGCATGATTTTAATACTCCATGGCAATTCCCAAAAAGTTCAGATCTCTTAAATTCAACACAAACGTAGCCGGCAAATCTGCACTGCACGTCGCTATGGGTCATGCATCCAGCGATGCTGCACCTTCAAACGTCTCCCTGTGGTGTTTGTTGCAAAGCACATATACCAGAAAATAGAAGGGGGGGGAGGGAAGGGGGGGAGAAGAAAAAGCAAAAACCACACAACCAAACAACATCCCCCTAAATGTGAGAATATTTAACCCCAGGGCCTTTTTGCATTGGAGAATATTTTTCCTTTAGTTTAGTTATTTGTCATAAAGAAGAGATCGAGTCACTTATCACTATTACGGAACACAGGGGAAATTAGCCATGCTAAGATATATGCTAATAAAGGAACTCAAATTTTTCCAAGAGAGCACTGCAGGAAACAAAATTTGCAAAGAATTGACTTACAAACAGGAAGCCGCCTTCCACCCCTCAGCCTTCAAAAGGTTTTCAGCCACATGCCTGGGAATATTAAAGACATCATTGCTCAACATTTGTTGACAGATTCTGAGCTTTACCAAATTTAGTTGTTACCAATGTTAATTCAATGTGAAAGAAAAGGCAGTAATGCATGCAGTGCTCCCATTATGTATATCAATCTTTAATATTCAATTTGAGTTCCTAATTGCCTCACTATCAATGTTCCAACCCACAGCAGATCCCTCCATGCCTGTGTAATTCACTATTTGCTCGAGAAGGCTCTGCTTTTAACAAACCTTCAGAAGTAAGAGCTACCATGTGTAGCAAGAGATACTGTACGAAGATCTGCATTGCCTTTTATCAGTAAAGCAAGTCTAACAGTGCTTTAAAAATCTTTATACTTCTCCATAACGCAAAGTCTGAGAGAAGTACATTCTTTATTACATCCTTGGACATTTATTAATTATAATGGATGTGAACTGCATTATGTACATGTCCGTACTTTTTCCATTGTACGCTTATGGTCAAATGAACTCTTACAGGGAGGGGGAGGAGGAATAAAAGAAAGAAATTAGAAGTGTTCTGTGATCAATTTAAAGTGTAATATCTGTTACGGACACTGCCAGAGGACTAAAACCCCCACCAGTAGGGAAATACACTAGATCATCTAACAGGCATTTCCAGCTCTAACTTCTGCGATTAATAATTTACAAACCACTGAATAATTTTTTTAATTATTCCTGTACAGCAAGAAAAATCCTCTGTGGAATACGATCCATTTCTTCGGTTCAAAGTAAAATTATTTGAGAGACTTGTATCACTCTCCAAAAACAGGACCAAACCCCTAAGCAAGCAAGGCACACATTTTCCTTAAGAAAGTATTAGTCTCTTCCACAATGTCCATTAAAATTATGACAAACTCCACTTGTGTTTAATCAATCTAATCCCAGTATTGAAAAACAATTTATGATTATTTACAAAATAACTAAACTATCCACTTAAAACATACTCTTACATTCCAGAAAACTAAATCAGTAGCAAATGCCATCATCTGTGAGTGACCACCTTACGTATATATTTTGAATGCTTTTGTCTCTATTCATGTTCAAATATTTTAACACCGTTAAATTTATACGATTTGGGAGTAAGTTTGACACATTCTTCCTCTTCAGTAATACAGAGCTGTAACACCCCTATGCCAAGATGATGAATCTCTGCGTGGCAGCCTGCTTTGCAGTTAGCCAAGCTGGTCTAGCAGAGAGCTAAGCAGCTTGGCCTATTTGACTAGCTGTTAATTGGCCTCTAGGAAAGCCAGACTGCAAAATGAGAGTCTCTACAAACTGTAAGGCTGGAGAATATCTGTTCACCTCAGTTGCACATTAGGAGCTGTTTCCAACAATAGACGTGTTTTTTATTACTCCTTAAAACTATTTTTAAATGGCTATAACCCTCTTAAAATGTCTCCCAGGGATATGAGAAATTAAGCTAAAATAAGCATGACAAGTATATAAACTAGGCAGTTTTATCAGGCTGTAAATCAGCATTACCGTTTCAACCACGTATTTATTCCTGTCTTAGCTGCTAAGACAATAACAGCTACACCTAGCATAAAAATGACTTTGAATATCAGCAAAGATGATTAAGCATTATATAGCAGGTTTAAACACAGCGAAACCTCCATAAAATTGCTCTGTGCAAAATGAAGAGGGGAAACACACCTATATTACACTTTGATTTGAGTGGGGCAAATTACTTCGTCAATCACATCATGTAATTTACTTCTGTGCTATACACAATGGAAAGATCAATACTGATGAGAAACTCATTTGCAGTATGTTCACACCGGCAAATTTGTGTGAACTACCTACTGTGCTAAGTCTACTATACTAGCCAGGATATGAATAGAATTATTTTAACAAAGAAATTACAAAATTTGATTGGCAAAGCAGATAAAGTAGTACACACTAGAATCCTATTTTGAAAACAGTCACCTCTTCAAGATTCCCGCATGATATTTTTAGGGTTGGGGGGGGGTGTTATTATTTCTACATAACAGGGTTGATTTTCCTGACTTTTATCAAACTTCTGTATATGCCTTAGTTGCACAACTTATATTTTGTTTCTGTCCAGAAATTCTTGCTATTCTTCAACTGTTCACACAGCTTTGTTATTATACAGCTGCCTACAAGCACAAGTTTGTGACCACAAGTACAGGCTGTGCATAACACATTACTACCACACAGCAAGATACAAGCACTGAAATTGTTTCTATGAAGTCGTGGAAATTCTGGACTGTTGGCTTTCATTAGTCTTTTTTAAAAGCAGTTAAGCATCTTTGGAGGGAAAATGATAAAGAACTACACAGACTGAAGAAAATCTCAACCAAAACTCACAAGAGTAAAGGTTTGATTTGGGACTTCCAACTGTTCCAGTATCCCTTTCCAAAAAATTCTGACAGGACATTTTCAAAGAGGCAGATATCCAACTCTCAGAACCTCCCCATAGGATCAAGGTGCTAGTGACTTTTCAAAGGCATTTCAGTTTAACTGGCTGATGAGTTCCTAAAAGTTACCAACATACTTGACTGTTACGGGGAAATCTGCCTCCAGGTATAAAAGTTTAGGAGATCAAAGCTGCACCCAGCTCCCCAAGGAGAAGGGTCTGACATGAAGCACTACTGAGCAGTTACAACCCAAGGTGCATGATCTTAAATGTCAGCTTTTCTACTGCTTCATGAAAAACTGTTTCCTTCCCATCTTCCCCACAGACATCCATGGAAATAACTTGTTTCTGGCATCGATTCTTCCTCCCGGTCCTCACTTCTCCATTCTCCATGCACGCTGCTTGTGCTAGCATCCTCCCTGGCAACAACACATCCTTCCACCTGCAGCATATATATCCAGCATATATTGCTAGTTCTTATTTACAGTCACTCTGAAAATCTCCCTGTGCCTAGCACCTCTGTCTTCCTGCTTCTGCCATTGTAACTTTTTCCTGTCCAAGTCCCTTTATTCTTTCTTAAGACACTTGACATTCTTGCCTTGGGACACCTATGCAAAGCCAGGCTGCACTCCACTGTGGTCTCCACCTCCATTCTGCTCTCTGCTACATTCCCCCTAATTCCCCTGAACCTCAGCTTTTGTCTTCATCTCTATCCCCCACTAAGAATTCATTTTTCTGCTTAATACTCCTTCTCTTCATTAAAATCGCTCCAGGAAACCAACTGCTCCCACCACTGTTCTGCAGTGTGAAGACTACCAGGCCTTGTATGCCCTGCAAAGTAAGGGAGTCATCCCTTCCTAACACAACACTGGCAGAGAGAGGCTGCAGGGAGGACACCCTTCCTCTCCCCAAGTCAAAGATGCATTTCAAAACAATACATATTTGCTTCAAGTCTATGCACTTTCACTGCAAAGAGAGTGATTTGGGGTAAAAAGCCCACCTGAAGCCAGAATTGTGCCCTCTTGTAGCGGTGAACAACATTGAACTGTACTGATGTCCAAAACATACTACTTTAGACTTTTTAGTGAAGAAGAATTGCAATGTCCTGCCATTTTGCCAGCCCAAATCTCCATTAACGCCACAGCTGGCACTTGTGCCAGTGGTTTACCAGCACCACCTCAGTGCAATGCCTCCAAAACAGTCAGCCACAAAAAGTCCCCATCTGAATTTGCACATACCGTCAGTCCTTTTTGCATCAGAATGCTACGACTGCCTTGCATAGCTTATTTAATAGCCTACTAAAACAGGGGCACTTCCTTCAGATTCTGCTACTTTATGACACTGTGAAGACTAGGTGTCCCATTTATTAATCAAGGATAGAGTTTTCACTCCCAACAGAGGCCGCACAGTAACATCCCTCAAGATGCAACACTTTCCATCAGGTAGATGCTATGGCCAGACGAACACCACAATGTTCATATTAATGTCCCTCCCCAGATTCTCTTTGTTCCCAGAAATTCTTGCATTGTATCGAGTTATTGTAGAAGAAAATCCTGCAAAGTACAGAAGACGTCGTTTCATACGCAACTTCTGCGCGGCTTTGTCAATTCAGCTGTGGACAGTGGAACCATCCTAGTCCCATTAGTTCTCCAGGCTCGGGTATCTATTTCAGGTGTGCACAGACAGACGATAAGCAGGGGGTTACCAGAAGGACTGGTACAAAGGTCTGTAAAGCGGAGTATATTTTTGTGCAAAAGGGAAGGTGTTTATGAAAGTTTAACAGGCAGACAAAAGATACAGCAGGGACACGTCTGCGGGACGTAGGGAAAAACGAATGAGTAAATCCCACTAAAAATAGCCAACATTTGAAAGTCTCATTACTTCGTATTTACCTCATTTCAACGACTCTGACACGGAGATCCCAGCAGTTCTTGTTTGTCAGAAGGGAACATGAGAGACAAACTATGACAGATCATAGTCACAAAGAACTGTTCAGTTAAAAAGAGAATCAAGTATCCTTACCCTTGTTCTGTCCTCAATTTCATAGATGCGAAGCTGCATGGGAACATTAAAGCTATGCAGGATATTTCCACCAAACACCAGAGAATCTACTGGAGTATAAACCGCATGTATCCACCCTAGAGAGGGAAAGCAAAGAACTGAGAATGCCTCATGCTACGTAGTATTACAGAGCAATTTATAATCAAATTTTAACAACCCCATGAACTCCATCCTGCAAGGGATGAGAGGTTAAAACAGTGAGAGGTTAAATGGTATGCTCATAGCCACGCTTTAAGACTAGTCATAGCAGAAGAATGGCATCTGATGGTGTACAGTCTTACAACCTTCTGTAAATTGGGTTCTTCTATTTATCCACAGAACAGTTACAGTGTTTACTGAGAACACACAAGCTTGTGACTCAACCACATTCATGACTAAGAAGTAAATTCAGTCTGTTCAATACACTCAACTCTCAGAGGTATCTACTGGCACCTCCAGTAGGGTTGCAAATCCTGTTAGCAGTGGTGGTGGGCTAGGGCTGTGGAACCGGACTGAGTCACATCAAACTTCTTTCATACCAACACCAGAGCATGCATCTTCAGATGTCAACAATTTCAAATTATTACCAGCCCTCATTCAGAGGTGAAAGTTTCATACCCTATTACCAACTTTCTGAAGCAATTGAAAAATCTTTTTCACTGCAACAAGTTAAGGGATGTAACATTTCTAGTCCTGGAGCTGATGAGACTGTTCTGACCCAATCCTGCAAGGGACGGAATTCATTTCACAGACTCCAAATCAAGGGTAGAATTTTCTATCACAACAAAAATCGAGGCATAGTAATTCAGGCAGCCACACACCAGCTCTTCTGCTTCTGCGTTGTTTGCTTGGTATGTCAGCAGCTGAAGGACTGGCTATGCAAGACTGTAGCCTCTGATCTCTGCAGTGAAAAAGGAATTGATCCTGCTAATGATCTTGGACCCACAGAGACCTGTGATGCTTTCTTTTTTTTTTTCTTTTTTTAATGAAAAGCATGACAATTTATAAACCAGTAAACAGCAAAGCAACATAGGGGGCAGTCAATTTTCTCCTAACTGTGCAGTACTTTCCATTAAAGCTGTGGCAGCTTTCCTTCACTTCAAGATCAGTGAGGAAGCAGGAAAATGCCATTCAGCCTAAAGGGTTCTCCAGCTAGCAGCCACGAAAGCTCTCCTCCGCAACAATTTTTAGACCATAAAGGCCTGCAAAGCTATATCTGAAAAGTCCTTGAGCCACAGCAGATGGCAGAACTGGGGCTTTCATTTAAGGGCATATTGGTAGGAGAGAGACAGGAGGGAAAAGAAATCAACACTAGAATTTTCTCCCTGGAAATACAAGCTCATCACTCTGGATACCTTTTTCTGAATTTCAGAATCACTGAATGGCTGAGGTTGGAAGGGACCTCTGGAGGTCAGCTGGTCCAACTCCCCTACTCAAGCAGGGCCACACAGAGCCAGCTGCCCAGAACTATGTCCAGATGGCTTTTCAGTATCTCCTAGGACAGACTCCACAACCCTCTGGGCAACCTGTTCCAGTGCTCAGTCAATTTACAGGTCTGATTCCACATGATAAATGTGATGCATATAAAAAAGCAGGTGGCTCATCGCTCTGGCAGCTCTCAGGATTATTACATCTTTCCTGCTCCAGTGAGTGCACTTTCAGTTACAGAGTTGCTCACAATGATCTAGTCTGTTTACTACTTCCAAATCAAGAACAACCAACTAGAGAGGATTTTTTTTTCATGTAAAGATAGTGTGGCAACTACATACATCAACACTATAAAAGCTCTTCACAGTTGAAGTAGTTCACCACCTCACATGAAACACATCAGTCTGTACTAAGAGCAAGCTACTGGAAAAATAAGTGATCTTCCTGATCCTAGTCTCTGGGAAGGAAAAAAAGATCCAAGGTCAAGGAAGTTGGGGCTACTGCTTCCACCAGATAATCAAAAATTTTATGTAGTTAGGGGAAAGAATGGAAACCGCGTGGTGAAGTAAATCTGTTGCTGGGTCTCCAAAGCCAACTTACTGGATAGTCGCTGGAACAAAGAGTCATTCTGTGTGACAATTCAGCTTATTTGTCAGTCTTAAAGATGAACAAACTAAAGCTTGAAAAAGTGAAATGACTTGTGCCACATCCACACAACTGAGTGGTGGCAGGAGACAGGTCAGGCAGAACGTTGAAGAGTCCTCAACACTACTTCCCACACTGCAGTTCTCTCAGCACAGGTCAGTCAATGTACAGACATACTGGAGCTGGCAGATGCAACAAGTTACTTTAATGGAATTATCAACATCATCCTAAATATAATTTATTATCAAATATTTACAACTTATGCAAAAGGAGTAACCGAGCTGAAACCTGGCTTTCTAGTCCTACATGAAAGGTAGAAAGGAGATAGACTTCATTTTATAAGAAATAAAATGAAATCCCATCAATGCAGTTGTTTGTCAAGTGTATGCTTTTACTACAACCACACAGCAGCCACCTCCTACAAATTATATTGCCTCAGTGAAAATTTCACACCGTAGGGCAGTTGGTTTCATTGTTTCTTGCCCTTTGTGTTTCACTCTCATCACACCTTCCCTGACCTCTCAACTCTGCCCCCACTAGATGCCAAGGGTCTTTGTGTCAATAACCTCTAGACTTCCTCCATAGTAGTCCCCAATGTTTTTGGGAGAAATGCAAAAGGATCTATCACTGGCTTGAGCCAATGCTCCAACAAATGGTGTCCCAGACATGACAAACCCTCAACAGAAAGATTAACGAACATTAATATAATTTTGATCCTGTATTGTTGAAGAGCTGGTAGAGGTGCAAACTGAAAGTCTTCCCTGAAGTATCTGAGACAACCTCTGGTTCTGTGGATAATGGATTTAATTCCCTACTTACATTTATAATCCAGGCCTAAACGCATCTTACAAACAACTACTACCATCAACTCCTAACTTCTGAATTAACTGAACACTAGGTCCTTTGAGATGCACCTACTTCTAATAACAAGACGGAAAATACTACTTTTTATAAGAAGTTCTCCATAACAAAACCCTGTAGTAATAAAGTGCTAAAATCCATCAAGGTTGAGAAAGTAAAAATAAACCAGAGACCAAGCAACAAACAGGAAGTCATCAACTGTGAAGTCCTTGGAAGTAAAGTTCCCACTCCCAGCCAGAGCACAATGCAGGGTGATTTCCAGACATAGCTCAGAGATGGGTAAGGATGACGCCTGAGGATACCATCCCTTCACTGTTGAACCTTGTTGACTGAGGCACACAGCTAAGTGCCAGGGAATCCCTAGACCTCCAGCAGTTCGGGTGCTCCCATATGCAGGATCCAGCTCACAGCTCCTCTGCCAGCTACAGGACACAGCCCTGACGGAGGAGTCACCTGCCCATAAGATAGATTTTGGCCACTCAGCTGTATAGTGTTTTTCAGTTACACTGCATCCCAAAATAGTTTCAACTTGCCTGAGGAGCATACGTGCAATATTGAAACTGCAGAGACACAAGCACCAAGAGGTATATTCCAGGGACACAGGACACTATGGGCAAGATTAGACAAAAAAGATGGAGAATTGACAAGGTAGAAAACCACAGGAAGACTGGTACAGATATTACAAGGGGGGGAGGGGAGTATCCTGTTCTAATATTAACATGGATTAAAACTGAAGAGGCCAGCACCGGAAAAGTAGAAGTAGGAGGAAACAGAGACGAAGAGGAAACAGTTGCCATGAGGGTAATACATTGTGGAAATAAGCTCTGAGAACAGATAGGTTTGGATAGTACACTCAATTCATTCCCACAGCTTAGATAAAAGCACGACTCAGAAAAAAAATGAGGAGGATGGATGTTCATTGTGACCGTTTGCAAACAAGAACATCCATCTTCTAAGCTTCCCAGTTACTAAGGTTGTTAAAGACAGACCTCCAGAATCGGAGCAAGCTGCATGTACGCTTAACACAAAAGGTGCAGCCAAAGGGATTGCTTTAGTATCATCCACACCAATACATCCCGCCTGTCTCACCTTCAGCTATGCCGTTACTTTTTGCTGGATGAACTGAAAGTTTGTTGACATGTATGATCATGTCACTATGCTGGACAGGCTGTCGTGTCTGCTCATGTATGTCTGCATCTTTCGGCTCTCACAGCAAAAACTTGCCATACAGCCTCCAATACAGACACCTCTGAAGCGAGCATCATCAGTTCTCTCCTCAGTGACTGCTTTCTACTGTTTACATATACTCTGGTACTCCTGCACAACCCTATATGTTTCACGGGTTAGTGCAAGACAGGACATGACATCTCTCCCCTTGATAACACTCTCAAAAACTGTAATATTCTCAAACAAAAAAAAAAAGGAAAGCAACACAGAATAAAATGCCACAATTTCAATTTTATCCTTAATGCTAAACAAAGAATTGGTGTAATATCAGAACAGAAATGGATTAAGGACTGAAAAAGTCAAGAGTCAGTGGAATAAAATACTATTCATTTTTGGCTGAAAGACACAGACAAAAGCACCTGCTAAACATTATCCAAAGCTACAATTACATCCTATAGATGAGAAAGACATACATCGTGTGGCTCCGAGGATTAGTCATGAATTAGAAAACTCTTCCATGGGTGACCAGTTTCAAACCAGCCTGTGCTGAAAGCAGTAATGTCTGAGTGAACGTGGAACCAGCCTGTCCTTCCTTCACAGGCTGGTCCGACAGCTTGGGGCTGGAGCAGGCTCTCAGCGCGGCGGAGCGGCTCCTGCGCGGCCACTGCACAGTCCTGCCCTGTGAGCAGAGTACTTCAGTTCACACTCACCAGCCACGGCAGGGACAAGCTCAGCTAAACAGGGTAGATGGCCTTGGGAGGACAGACACTGCGTAGTCACGGTTCATACCCCTCATTTCAAGCCTAAACAAGAAGATTGTCCACTTACAGTTTTTATGAAGTTTATCTTTTTTATTTCAGTTCTTGTTGATTAATGAGTATTTTTTTCCTTCCCAAAACAATCCTAGTTTATGAAGCCAAGCCAACATTGAGCAGGAATCCTGTTCAGGAGGCTCAGAAATGCTCTCAGCTGATTTATAGTTACAAATTATTCCACC